GTATATTTTGAAGGAGAAAATTGAAAGAAGTTTCCCATCAGAATTCATGGCTAAGGGCCAAACTGGTTTTTGTTATATGATTTGTTTTCTCACGTTTCCTTCTACTTTTGGTCGCTAGAACTGGGGGGGAAGAGCAAATGAAGCATCCAAGTGACAAATTTTCTTTTTCCCTGTTTCTTGAAATTATATATAATTGCAAAAGGAATAGGAAAAAACTGGAGAGAAGTTTGAAAGTAAAAACTTCTATAAATTCTTACCGACAAATCTGAGAGTAAAATCCTTACTGTTTCAGCTGAAAATGCTCCTACATGCTAATTTAATATGCTATCAACATCAATTTGATAAAGAAAATGAGGTTTAAAAGGAAAACAAAAGGATTGGAAAGCCCAAAAAAAGTCTTGCGGTGACCTTACTAAGCCTTTGAATGAAGCTGATGAAACTGCTCTTGCAAATCTATGGCTAGCGTTTCCCTGCCGGATTTATTGAGGCAGTTGAAAACCTTCATATACACTTTAAAATATGGTCTAAGACCTTTCTTGATCATTTCAGAAAGAATATTTTGGGCAATCACCAGATTTCCTCTTTTCTGATGAAGCCTCGCAAGCAAGCTGTAATTCATGCAGCTTGTGCACTTGTACTTCTTATCTGAATCAACCACGTACTTATATGCCTCCTCATATTGCTCAGAGTTGAAAAAACCCTTGATAAAGGCAGCATGTGTTGAAAGCCGAGGTTCAAGACCCCTTGCCACCATCTCATCAAAGTAGTGACATGCAATTTCAGTCTTGCCGTTCTTGCAGCAGTAATATACAAAAATTTCAAAGGTTAATGCATCAGGAGGGCAGTCCTTGTCCTGCATTTCCGTCAATACCTTGCAAGCATCATCATATTCACCGTTCTTAAGCAAACAGCTAATTAGATAATTGTAAATTCGGGAATTCAGTTCAAAGCCCTCTTTCCTCATCTCATCCTGAATATCTCTCACCCCTTTAAAATCACATCTCCGACACATTTCCCTGATAAAAATATAGTAATAAGAAATCTTCCTCTCAGTTTTCTTCATCACAAACTCAACCATGTCAAAGGATCCCAAAACACTGAACATTTCGATCAATGAGGGAACCCAACCATGACAAGACCCTCTAACTTCACGCAACAAGTCAATCACTCTCTGTGTGGATTCCACCAAGGACTCATTTGTAACATTCATAACATGTAAGAATTCGAATGCCTTTTTGGTTAGACATAACCGGTTCTCGTTAAAATCATTTAAAAGACTCCTCATAGCATCATAATCATCTAAACGCCCACAATTGTCAATAACCAAGCTACAAATATCAGAATTACATCTCAATTCAGGCTGCCAATGTCTAATCCAACGAAAGAAACGCAAAGCAGACACCTTTTCACTATTCAAGACATGAAAAACCAGAGTCACAGAAGCAATAGATAGCTTTACACTCAAAGAACCCAACTTGTACTCCAAATCATACTCATCCCTCTTAATCAAATCAATAATATATCCTACTTGCTTTTGCATTGCCCTTGGTCTGACCCTACCAGTTCCCATTTCCTTATAAACATTAAAGGATGGTGTCTTGTAACCTCGAAGATAACCATGAATATTTGACTTGAAGAAATAAAGATTCAAACTTTGACTATTATGACCATTGTACCTACCATTACATCCAGTAAAACCCATGTGTTTTGAGACAGAAGGTGACCTATTTGAGGAAAACAAGGATGAACTAGGATAGTTACAGAAACATAGAGAAGTTGAAGATGGGTATGATGGGTTTGGAAAGAGTTGTGGCTGGGACTGTTGGAAGAGGAGAGGGAAAATCAAATTATAATAAGGGTTTGAGAGGTACCTGAGATTCTTGTGGGAGAGCTTTGAGATCTCCATGGAGCTGCTAGGAGCAGTGCTGCCTCCTTGTGGCTAGAGTTGATAACACCAGTTAAAATTATGTGCAACAAAGTTATTTCAAAGTTTTCTGTAGGGTTCCTTACAAGTAAAAAAAAAAAATGGTTTTTTTGTAGTATCATGAACATATTATAGTCAAATTATATATGAAATTAATTTCAAGTCTACGTATAATTTGAATTTAATTAATGATTTATCATAATTTTTACATGTATAATAAAATATCAAATCATAAAATTTTATTTAAATATATAAGGAATTGAATTATATTAATTTAAAAATATTTTAAAAAAATAATTACGTAGAAAAAGAGTATGTACATATAAGAAGGGAACACCAAGAGAAAATTTTGAGTTGATCAAGTGATCAACCTTTGGATTTATTCCTTAATAATTCGAGTTTGAGTTATTTTAATGTCAATAAAAATTTATATAATTATTCATTTATAAAATTAATAAAAATGCACTATATATTCACGTTAATTCAAAAAACAAAACACCAAGAGGGGCACCAGGAGTTGGAGATGATGAAAGGAGAAGGGATAATGTTAATAAACAGAGGTGGTGGAGTCATAGAAGATGCAGAAAAAGATACAGAAAAACTGGTTCCTGGGAATGGAGAAGCTAATGAGCCCAAGAAAAACCAACACGAAGTGAATTAATGGGTAAATCCAAGGAAGAACAACACGATGTGAAGAGAATATGGAGCATGCTGGGCTCTAGCTTCGTTTTCGAGTCTTTTCAACAGTTTTTAATGGCCATATAAAACAACCTCAGGATGAAGAAGACAATATTCAATCCGACGTGCTTGAAATTGTTGGATAGAGATCGATCATCCAGTCCGCATGCATGTATACACTACATGCCTCGGCATACCCTGCAGCAACACTAGGTATAAAACTAGATCATTTCACGTTTCAGATTCCGGTGATGGGTTATAAGAATGTCAGGCGGACTTTCCGATGTTTGCCATTTTTCTGATCCCTTTCTTCTTTTCATTTCCCAGATAAGTTATGCGTAATGCATCACAAAATATATATTGCACTTGATAATTTAATGTTAGCAAAAATCTAATATGACTGGCTCAGATCCTGGATAAAGCTCGGAGCCCGGAAGACCAAAAAAACATTGATGGGAAATTATTAGCATATGCCAAGGGTTCTTTCTTCTTTCTTTGTCAATATGGAACAAAATTAAAAGAAGAGAAAAGTGAACAAAATTGCATGAAAATTGGAACCAAATTGAAAATTAGTTTTTCTACAGTAGAAGAAAAAGAACTTAATTCAACTTAGTTTTGAAAGAACTTAATTCAAAAAGAACTTAATTGGAACCGAACAAAATCAAATGTAAAAGAACTTAATTGAAAAAAAAAATCAAAATGAAAAAAAAGAAAAAGAAAAAGTAAATCTACAGTAGAAGAAAGAGTAAAACATCAATTCAAATTAGTTTTTCTTTCAATTTTAATATTCTCTTTGTTTAAAGATATCTTGAATTGGATTTTATGTTATCCTTTACAAGAATAAGATGTAAGAAACCCTAAAAGCTCTTAACTCTCTATTCTATAACAAATTATTTTTCTCTTTTTTATAATAACATTCACAACGAAATATATTGCTATATCTAACCTTGGATTATGATCTCTCGTTGAGGGATTAAGGTTATTGAATCAACTAATTTATCAGTTTAGCTGATCAACTTCTCGGTTGCATTAACTCATTACAAATGCAATTTTCATGTAGATATATAAAAAAGATGACTTTTGGCACACTTGTATGGAAAGGGGAGGGCGTAGGTTCAATGTTGACTGCTTGCATTTTTCATAATTAAGTTTGAGTAAAGGTTAAATTTAAAGATATTATTAACTAATAAGCTAAAAGATGTAGCTTTGATGATGTAGCTTTGCCTACTTCCATTTTTCATAATTAAGTTTGAAAAAAAGTTAAATTTAAAGATATTATTAACTAATAAGCTATAAGATTTGGGTTTAATGAAGATGCTTTACTATTTATATAAATAGTGAAGTTATATGATATTTTTCTTTTTATCTTTATTTTTTTTTTCTTTTAATTAGATACTTCTATAACCTAATTAAATGAAATTAGGCTTAAATTTATGATATATATATCAAATTAATAGACAGAGAATTAAAATGTAAAACACGAAAAAAATATGAATAATCACAACTTCATAACAATTTTTATTTTTATCTTAAGATTTATTTTTGTTTATTTTTCAATCATTGGTATGAAGAGAAGAAAGAGAAACTTACTTGGAAATAATATGAAGAGAAAAAATTATTGATTATCTCGATTTTAATAACTAAAATGACCAAGGTTATTATTAAATAATTTCATTCGACAAGAAAAATTTAATAATGGTGGGTTTTGGTCTTTTTTTTGGTTGGAAAAGTAGGGTG